AAGAAAAGCACAGCACAACACATGAATGTATGCAACATGGCGGTCGACTAAGAAATGATTCCGTTCGGGTTAACTCGCTTCTAGAATGTTGTCCGAGATCCGAAATTTGGTTCGATAATCGAGTCATTTTCATTTTGAATTTTCTGTTCGAAAACCGATTTCTTCGTCATGTGAGACGTTTGAGAACCGAGGTTGTATTGTAAATCATACTTATTATAAAACCCACAAAATATTGTTTGTGTGTGTGTGTGTGTGTGTGTGTGTGTGTGTGTGTGTGTGTGTGTGTCTGTACGTTTATATATTGCATCGGATTTCCTACATTTTTCAACCGATTTCAACAAAACTTCACAAGACTACGTAAAATTACCTTGTGGTGGTTCTGACAGTGCAAAAAATTGGAAAAACACGATTGTTTTTACACAAAATCAATTTGAAAACACGATTAAGACGCATCACGGGAATGAAAGGTGGACAACTCATATCGAGTTATACTTATTATAAAACCCAGGTTGTTTTTGTGTGTGTGTGTGTTCGTTTATATATGGGATCGGATTTCCTATATTTTTCAACCGATTTCAACAAAACTTCCTTTTTTTCACTTTTTTTTGGCACTTTTTAGTAAATTTTTGTTAGAATGTTTTTTTTTTTATTTTTACATTTGGTAGATAAAATTTTTCAACGATTGAAAACAATATTTTTGTTTGAGTTTGACCAATTCGTAAAGAAAAAAAAAAAACAAAACAAAAAAAAAACTAATTAAGACATGCGTGTGTGTCAAACTTAAACAATAATCTTTGTCAATTTTCTTTATTAGTCTTTATGATGGTCAATACATGATCTATCTTTTTGTTGTTACATCATTAAGGGCAACGCCGGGCTCTACTGCTAGTAGGAAATAAAGGAGGAATTAAGAGATTGGAAAGAGAGAAAGTGATGGCGCAAGTGGAAGGTGTTGTGGAAAGGGAAAGAAAGAGATGTCATTGTTTGGAAAGGGGAAAGGAAAGACATGATCGTCTCTTTATTTATAAGAATAGTATATAGATCGTTGATTTTGCCATATGAAACTGAGTAGGAAGAGACAATATCATCAACAATTGTTTTTTCTCTTAATTTTTCTTTTTCCTTTACCAGTATCACTGCTAGTTTTCTTTGGAGCCATGACGAAGGTCTAATAAAGAGAAAAAAAACATTGGCAAAGAAAAGCACAGCACAACACACGAATGTATACAACATGGCGGTCGACTAAGAAATGATTTCGTTCGGATGAATTCGGTTCAGTTCGGCTCGGACGGAAATGTTTTTCGAGAACAGAAAGTTTGTTTGATACCCGAGTCATTTTCATCTTGAATTTTCTGTTCGAAAACCGATTTGTTCGACATGTGAGATATTCAAAAACCGTGGTTGCTCTTAATATAAAATATATTTTAGACTATGTATATTGACCTTGACTTCTATAAAAAATACGTATGCCCTTGGCACACTGAATGATTTTAAAACCCTAAGTCGACACATAGTTAGTAAAAGGTTGCTGACCACTGGTATAGACCATCAACCTCCTCATTGTCATTAGACAACTTTTTGAAGCTATAATTAAACAAGACATACATATCAAAGACGATCGCATTAGATATTCAAATATTCTTTGACAAGATTTGGCAGGATGGGTATACCGGGGAAGTTCTCTAGCTATGGAATCACTGGAAGAATCATCTCAATTATAAAGTCCTTCCTAACGGACAATCCCCTCACAGATGAAGAAGCGACTTGAAGCAACAAAAATGTGGTTCTATAGAAAGATGCTGAGATTACCATGGACTGAACATGTGAGCAACGACAAAGTTTTAGACTAAATGGAAACAAAAAGAACACTTATACTTAACATCAAAAAGAAAGAACCGAATTTTCTAGAGCAAGGGTCGGCAGTTTACGGCACGCGTGCCAAAAGCGGCACACCAAGCAATATCTAGTGGCACGCAGCTACAAATGATATAACGAAGTCCGAACCAATAACTATTACAACGCAAAGAAGATATTTAGCTGTTTCAAATTTCATATATACTAAAGTATATATACTATATATTACTATATAAAATATATTGTAGAACAGGTATATTGGCCTTGACTTGTATAAGAATACGTATGCCCTTGGCACACTGAATGATTTTAAAAGCCTAAGTCGGCACATAGCAAAACGTTGCCGATCCTGGTCTAGATAATAAACTGTACTGAATAAAGTAACCTAGTCTAAATGGCAAAACAGCACATGTTTTGGTGTGAGGAACCCACCCCCAAAGGTTGTAAAAGTATTTTTGATACACCATTTATATATATATATATATATATATATAGTCATTCACGGACAGACTGTTACGCTGTATCACGGTTCATCAGTGTAGCTAGACGTCCGGTTGCCTCTAGCTAGGATCGAAACCCGGCTGAATTGGCGTCATTCGGAGATTCTACACCTAAGACTTTGGCGCACGGCAGGGATGAAGGTGAATTTAAGCGTATTTATTTTTAGTTAAACACACAGTGACTGAGAGAACTCGATTCGAAACGAAGAGTCTTGCATTATTAGCCGTAATAGTCACTGTTTACATACTCACAGTTCCTCCCCAGAGAGCTCAACCAAAATAAATTTTTCAGAATCATATATATTGTCATCCAAAAACAGACTGTTTCGTTGCATCACAGCTCATCAGTGTTATATATATATATATATATATATATATATATATATATATATATATATATATATATATATATATATATTTCAATAAAGGTGCAATTAATTTACAAATTCATGAATTATTCATACAAAAAAACAAATACAAAGGCTAATGATTTAATTGGCGAGAAATCCATCGTCGCAAACAATTCAAATAATATACAAAAACCCCGAATCTGTTTATGAATGAAAAGATCCTTGTTTCTATAAATTTCTGTTGTATGAGTTCTTATTATTTTTACAAGCTTTCGTCTGTTCTTACAGACATCCTCAGGTATACGTATATGATTGCGATATTTGCGTCACTGTCACTTGAAATTTATAAAATCTTTATCATCGGATAGTTTTTTTTTTTCCGGGTAATTCGAATTTGCTAACCCACTAAATGTTATAGCTCTTTCTAACTGTAGAAGTTTTCGTCTAAACATTTCTGTTAGCGTGAAAAGTTAACATCTTGATTATATCATCATTTTCTCTTTGACTTTCAAGTGCGACATATTTTTGTTATTGTCTCGTTTGGAAGTGTTCAAATAATTTTTTTTTGTTAATCATTTCACCCCAAACAAGGCAATGACGCCACTATTAACGAGAGAGGACAATGAAAGGACGTGAAGTAAAAAGACAGAAGATAACGATTGACATTGCACTTAAATTTTTGAGAATAAACCTTGGGTGGAAAACAAGAACCCAGAAGAGATGTTCCACAGTGCGAAAATTACGATTGAAGAAACTATTAGCATAGAACTTGCGGTTACATCTATCCATTTTGTAAAATGATGAAAACTTGCCTCCCATCTAGTGCTTGCTTAAATTTATAAGGTCTAGAGGAACGTTTACCAGATCAATAGCCATGAAGATAATTATAGAAAAAGGTACATGAAAGCTACGTTACGGCGGCAGGAAAGTGACTGAAGCCGAAATGCCAGGTTAGGACCAGTAATATTTCAGATTCTTATTTGGATATTATTAAGAATATCTAATATATATGACAGGAGCATCTGACCAGATGTGGCCGCAATATTTAACGTAAGGATGAATGGTAGACTCATAAATATGTAAGATAGATTCTGGCGACAAATAGAACCATCCCTTCTAGCAGCAGATCTAGAAATCGATTCAATATACACTTTCCACTTCATGTCAGCTGAAAGCGTTAGTTCAAGAAGTTATTCTGCTGGAGGTTAGCATCAGCCGTGCTGACGGAAGGTAAAAAGGGTTCTTTCAGATGATTAAAAGAGAGTAGTTTCGTTTTGGAGGCATTAAAATTAACAAGCCATTTCTTGCCCCAGTTAACAACAGATTGTAGGTCATTTTTAGATCAGCTGCCTATTTGACCTTATCGAACCGATTAGACTTACTATTAAAGCGGGAGTAAATTGCTGAGTCATCAGCATAGCTAGCTAGTTGAAAACTGATGGCATGGTTATTTGGTACAGGCCTTTGTGATTTTGTATTACCAGTCTATAGGGTTTGATAAATATTTGTCTCTAAGTTTTATAGAATCAACCGGATTTCGCGTATGCTAATACGTTACAAGTGGTAAGACGCACCCTATAATTAGATCGGTATCCCAAACTCAGCTGGGATTTCAGGACCGCGTTCAAGAGCGCGAACGGCGTGTTGAATTAGTATCATGGCTATCATAGTCCGCTATTAATCTATCAGTGTATTACCGAATATCTTGGCTTTATGGCCACACCACATTCAAGCATCCGTTCCATTACGATCACCAAGGTTAAGTAATGTCAGTATCTATAAAAGTGACCGCTTGGGAATGCGAGGCGCTGTAAGCTTGGATGCGCCGGTGGTGTAATGCATTATTATTAATCGGGAAGCCGAGTTCCAGTACGATCACTGAAGTTAAGCAACGTTGAACCTGGTCAGTACCTATATGGGTGACCGCTTGGAAATACAAGGTGTTGTCTTAATTTGATTTGTGGGTATTTGTAATGAATAATTATTTTTAATTAATCAGAAGCCGAGTTCCTCATACGATCACTGAAGTTAAGCAACGTCGAACCTGGTCAGTACCTATATGGGTGACCGCTTGAGAATGCCAGGTGCTGTACGCTTGGATTTGTGGATTGTGTAAAGGATAATGGCACGGAACTATTAATCGAGGAGCCGAGTTCCCGTACGATCACCGAAGTAGAGCAACGTCTAACCTGGTCAGTACCCATATGGGTGACTGCTTGGAAGTACCAGATGCTGTCAAATTGTATGTGCGGGTGCTCTAATGGATAATGTCTCGGAATTATTAATCGGGGATCTGGGTTCCCGTACGATCATCGAAGTTAAACAACGCCGAGCCTGGTCAGTACCTTGATAGGTGACCTCTTGGAAATACCAGGTACTGTAAGGTTCGATGTACGTGTGTCGTAATAGATAACGACTTGTAATTGTTAATCAGAGAGCCGAGTTCGTTATATTCATTTATATATTCATAGAAAGGACGTATCAGTTGTATGACTTTTTGACGCGTTGATTACCATTACATCCGTTTTTGTTCATTACAAGCAACGTTTGTACACAGGCTTATAATTTGTTGTAATTTTTCTAGATTTTATATCATTGTGATGCACTGATTTGATTTTAGCCCCTGTATCTTGGCAAGACGTTAAACTACGTCCAACAATTAATTTGATCAGGAGGTTTTGAGGAGCGTAGAACCACCTTAATTGATGATGTTTTTCAGGTCCACTTTTGACCCGGGGTGGAGGCACCTGTTGGGCTATGGGCAAATAGTTAACCCCACAAACAATTGTCAAAAAACTATGAAAGTTTAAAAATAGGTTTTAATGCCAGCAATACATTTTTAGAAAAATTATTACCAACAATAAATCTTTGAAAAATACAATACAGAATATTTGATGATCTGTGTCAAAGAACATGAAAGAAGAAATTATATTCAGTAAGAAAGGAAGCTAACAAATTCAAAATGGAGTTTCAATTGGGTGAAGAAATGCAAGTAAAACATGATGCACCTACTGCAGCTGCAAAATTCTTGAAAAGGAAAGGCAAATGCAATCGACCAGATATAGAAAGGATAGCAGTATAAATCTCTTCACGGTCAATATTCAGCCCGTTACAAACAAGCTGCTGTAGACAAACACCGTACCCATCAGTGGTTACATAGTGCAGGGTTAAAATATGAAACCGAAGGTTTTATTCTTGCTGCACAGGACCAATGCTTGCAACTAGAAATTACCATGTACACAGATACTGAAGAATTATGTTAGCCTCAAATTCTGAATCTGTGATAAGTCTTGACCATCTTGTATCATGTTGCATGCATATTGACACACAGTGAATATAAAACTCGGCATGATAGAATTGGTCAATATCTGCACTGGAAAATTGATATTGTTATGGTCCAAGGTTAGAACCATGGAAGAACAACAGGAAACACAACAGTAGAAATAACAAAGAATATATTACACAAGAAATAATACAAGAAGTGAAAGGGTTAGTAAGACTGTCCGACTGGTTTGGCGTGACTGCTATCAGCTCGACTTAATTCAGTATCTAGCCCAAACGAGGGTTGCATGTGGCACAGGGCCGAGTTTAAATGGGTTTCTGAGCCCATAAAAAGGAAACATAAAAAATGCCCGTAGAACCTGTATAAAGGGATCGGGTTTCAACCTCCCTAACGAAAACTCTTCTGCCCTTCGGCGTTTTAGTATTTCCACGTCCAGGTTCCTTTGCTCAGAGACAGAGAGTTCGACGGTCATAGTTGAAATTTTCTCGGATTGACAATAGTAAACATCTATCAAATCATATTTAAATCCGTACTAAAACTGTTCTAATACCTGTTCGTCTCTCTTGAGAGGCGTAATATATATATCGTTTGGAGAAGTTCATTCTGTCGGTCTAGGTAGGCACTATGACAGATATGAACATCCAAGGAATTTCACAGAGAAGGACCTTAAAATTCACATCCCAAACTGATTACAATGCACACAGACAGAACAATCAAAGCTAATTCTCCAGACATTGTGATCAAAGACAACAAGAAAAGAATCTACCTTCTTATTAGCATGGCAGTGCATGCAGATTCAAATGTATCTTTACATATTGTTATATACCATACCTATGAACATTAATAATTATCATAAATACTTTGGACACTATTGTAATTGTAATTGTTGTGGAGAGACGTGATCAACCTGTCCAATGAGCTTGTATTAATGGATGACAGAACAGGGACTAGTCGGATACTAAGGTGGCATATAATGCTTATAGCTACAAATTATAGGAAGTTGTGGGGAGCCACAATCATCCTATCTAACTGTTATGGTCCGGTTCCTTGTACCTCGGTGATAGTCCAAGGTAGAACCAATAAAGATGAACTCGAACACAGGTATGGAATAACACAGATATATTACAAACAGGAATATATACAGAGAAGTAGAAGTGTTAGTATGAACAATCAGGTTTAGTAGAGAGAACAATGTAGTCTAGACCAGTATCACTATTCCAATGTCTTGCAGTAATTGTCTGACCGTGACTCTGTTTCGGACTGCCTCTGAGTTGAACACTTGACTCGACTTGAACTACTGACTCGACTTGAACGACTGACGATATTCAGTCACCCTCCCCACTGGGGCAGCATGTGGCACAAGGCCGGTTTAACATGGGATCTCCGAGCCCGTGAGCTCGGGCAAAAATATGCCCTTTGAACCCGTATAAACGGTTTCAGGGTCGGTTTACCTCCCCGAAAGAGAATCCGCCCTTCGGCGGAGCCTCTTTCGGGTTCCTCTCCGCCCGAAGGCAGAGAGTTCAACCAAACAGTCGCTCGAGAAAGCGAGCGACTGACAATATTCAGTCACCCCGCCACTGGGGCAGCATGTGACACAAGGTCGGTTATTCAATGTGGGATATCCGAGCCCGTGGGCTCGGCCCCAAAATAGGCCTATTGAATCTGTATAAACGGGTTCAGGGACGGTTTACCTCCCCGAACAAGACTCCGCTCGTCGGCGTAGCCTCGTTCGGGTTCCTCCCCGCCCGAAGGCAGAGAGTTCAACCGAACAGTCGGTTCAGAAGTGAACGACTGACGATATTCAGTCCCCCCACACACACACACGCACTGTGGCAGCATGTAGCACAAGGCCGGTTATTTAATGTGGGATATCCGAGCCCGTGGGCTCGGCTCAAAAATACACCCATTGAACCCGTATAAACCGGTTCAGGGTCGGTTTACCTTCCTGAACGAGACTCCGCCCTTAGCGTAGCCTCGTTCGGGTTCCTCCCCGTCCGAAGGCAGAGAGTTCAACCGAACAGCCGGTCGAGACGCGAACGACTGCCTCCTTGCCTACTCCTGAGGCGCAGTATTTATTAAGTATGGAATAGTCCATTATTATTATTATGGGTAAGGTCCCATAGCACTAACAAACTTGTGTAGATGAATGGCAGAACACAGACTGGGAGAGATAGTAAGGAGACAATTATTGCTTAGATCTGCAAAGGTAGGAAGTTGTGGAGAGACGTGATCAACCTCTTTAATGAACTCGTGTTGATGATTTACAGAACAGGGACTGGGCGGGTAATAAGGAGATAAAAATTGCTTAGGGCTACAAAGCATAGGAAGTTGTGGAGAGCCATATACAATTAATCTAAAGAGCTTGTGTAAACTAATGGAAAAACACGGACTGGAATGGATAGTAAGGAGATAAATATTGGTTAGGGCTACAAAGTATAGGAAGTTGTGGAGAGCCACGATCAATCTAACGAACTTGTGTAAATAGATCGTAGAACAGGGACTGGGTGAGATAGTAAGGAGACAATTATTGCTTAGATCTGCAAAAGGTAGGAAGTTGTGGAGAGACGTGATCAACCTATCTAATTACTTTGTGTTGATGGATGACGGCGGATGGCAAGGGGACAGACATTACTTAGAGCTGTGAATGTTTTGAAGTTGTGGAGACAATGTGTAAAAGAAAGCAAGAAGAAATGTTTTAACATCAATTGTATGAAAGCTGAAGGTGTGGTCGTTAGCAAAGGGGGTATTGCAAGAAGCCTAGCTACGAATAGGAGACGTCAGAATCAATCAGGTATTTAACCATCTAGGACGCCAGTTACGATGAATGGATGTCCGCTGGTGGAGTCTCCCTGCCTTGAGAGACTATTGGGCCTTAAACTTATCCCCACCCTCAAATGGATCTCTTCTATACGACCCATCGCTAAAGAGGCAAGAAAAATGGTTGGCTTCCTGTATCGCTCCAGTAAGTACCTGACTCCCTGTACGATCCACTACCTTTCAAGAGCTAGACCAGGCCGAAAATAGAATAGTGTTAATATACTTGAGCATTATAAAGTAAAGGCTCTCGAGAAAGTAGTTGAGCAACATGCTCCATAAGTTTTCTATGTGGTTGACGTCAGGAGATTGGGGCGGCCATGTCATAACACTCATCTTCTCATCAAAGTATTCCTTCATCAATTTTGATTTGTGACAGGGAGCATTATCCTGCATAAAAATGAGCTTGGTGGGGTCGATTTGCACCCTTTCAGCAGAAGGGAGCAGACAAGACTATAATATTCTCTTGTACTGCTCGCTCCTGAGGGTTTTTTCAATAGGTTTTAAGAAACCAGTTCCGTGAAAAGAAAAGCATCACCCAGAACATTATATTGAACAGGTGGTTGACAGTACTTACTGCTAAATTCAAAGAGCTTTCAAAGATGCTTCTTCGGATTTTAGATCGCTTATCCTTTGAATTTAGCTCAACTTTCGTTTCATCGGAGAAGAGAACATTTAGTAAAACAAATCGGGTGAGTCACTTTTATCGAACAGCACTGTACATTCCTTGGTTCCACTAGTTTCAACTTTCACGGCTAGGATCCGCCATGCCACTTATATTGTAGCAGACCACCCATATTTCCACCGTATTCCATCAATGAGAAGTCAGTTGCACTCATACAGCTTATTCCTGTTAACAACTGCTCTGTGTAACCGACTCCCAAGAGAATGTTTACCTGATCACAACAATCTTAACCTTCAACTCTAGGGCTAATCGTTATCTTTCCCTCCTTCACGTATAAACTGCCTCTTGACGTAACCCTCTACCAGGCCTTATACATGGTGATTCTTACTGTAAGAAATGTGACACTGAATCCGGAAAACGCATTGAAATAACGAAACATGCTTTCCAAAAGCTAAGCAAAGTATAAAAAGAAAGGAAAATTTTTCTAGACAAAAAAAAAAAAAAAACTGCTAAAATGCTAGATGAAAGCCACGATCGCCTACGTCCTAAAAGAACACGGCGCATAAAGAGAAAAGGACACTGAAGTCTTCGCAAATGTTATTTCCCTAAAAGTTTAGTCGATTGCCTTGAAAGTGTTTTGTATTGTCTTCTCGTGTTAATG